AGACGCCTTACGGAAGTTTTGCAGAGAAAAGGATACCGTACCAGTTACTAAAAATAATATTATTTGTGTTTTAAACAGGTGTACGCAGACTTTTGCGGGTATATTTTTTGGTAGAGTTAAGTTTAAAATTAAAAATAAAATATAAGACACTGTTGAATAATTAAAAAAAAATACGTCAATGAAGACAATAAATTATAATTATGTTTAAAAAAAAAATGGGTTGAATATATGCATAAATGGCCGAACAGCTAGGGTTTAAAGTTAGATTTTGAAATTTTTTTGGGGTGTACGCAGAGATATGCGAGTGAGTGTACCTACAGATTTTAAGGGAAGACCTGCTGCAAACTGCTGAAAAACTGGGCATACGCGGTCGATTTCGGTATTGCCAGGATAACGATCCTAAAAATTCAGCAGCAATTGTGAAGACTTGGCTTGTCTGGAACGTAGTGAACTGCCCAGTTAGCAGACCATAACGTCATTGAAATTTTGAAGGCAATTTTGGATTTGGCCATCCGCAGGAGGTCAAAATCTAATAAAAATTATCTTTAAAATGCCCTCTTGAAAGAATGGCCAAGATTCCAAATGAGACCATAGAAAAGTTGGATTTTTCGATGCAAACTCGATTAGAGGATGTCATTAAACAGAAGTTCCTTGCACGAACTAAAAATAATCACTATTTTTAGTTTTTCTTAGTTTTAAGTTATATCTAAAGGAGTTTAAAATTAATGAAGTGCCTTAATAAATGCCAAAATACTACCAAACATAACTGCATTTAAATTTTTTTCATAGTCCATATAATTTGCCAGATATATGATTTTGAGTGTTAAGTTTACGTCTGCACGAAATAAGCTGTGCGCCACTGTACGTCTGCAGAAAAGAAGCTTGTAAGTCACTGTACATAATTTTGTTTTTCTTTGCTTACCGTTGGGATTTCCAATACATGTATGTACTTGTTTCTTGGAAAATATTGTGCGTTTATTAATAAGTGCGAGCATTTTTTAAACATTTAAAATTTTTTTAGTTCCGGTTTCGTTCAGTCTCAATTTCCATGTGTTTGTAATCCCGATTACGAAAAAGATAGTCTGTGATCAGGCCCCTACAATCTTTTGATAATGTTGTCTTCTCTCCCGGCAATTTTGCCACTGAAATTTTTATATTTAATTGTTGGGTTAAACTGAACGATACAAAATAAACAGTCAAGAGAATTTAGGTCACTAACACAGTGAAACATACTAAGCGAAAGTTTGAGAGCCACAGTTTTGAGTACAGCGTGGCTTATGGTGCAGAGAGCGAGAGAAGAGAGCTCGATTGGTATTGAGTTGTATAATTTTTTGATTTTGTTTTAGTCGGGACTTTTAATTTTATGCGTATGCTATAACCATTTTAATTATATTAGTTATATATTTGTTTATGTATTTATAGCGCAACATTTGCTAGCCGTTTAAATAATTTTTTACTGCGCAATATAAACAACAATAAAAACAAACACAAATCAAGCATATAAACCAGCACCATTAGTTGAGAGCATGTGCATGTGTGCGTGTGAGAGTAAAAGCAGAGATAAAAGCGTGTGCATGTGCATCTTTTTGTATTCGTTTTTAGGTGTTCTTGTTGTACATCTACTACGTTTCCAACTACGCGAAAGAAAATCGTACAACTAAAACTACAACACCAGCAACTTTTTCCGCTCTCTGTTTCTCATTTTCCTTTTCTTTTCCTTTGCCACGCAGTCGCACTTCCCTGCCTTAAGTTACTCATAAAAATTAGGAGAACAGAAAAACAAAAATAGTGAATACAAATAATTTTACACAAGTCACCTGTTAGTAAGCGAAGAATTTGATGAATTACATCGTAGTAAAAGTATACACAACTCACACATTCGAAATTACTACATATTTCCTACGCTTTACAGCGCGACTGCGCTGCAAATGTTAAACAAATGTCGCGCGTCATTCGAAGATAAAAAAGCAAACACAATAACATTACAAAAAAATTAACGTCAATGCTTAACCAAAAACAATCGCTATTTCACACACTTGCTATTTTTATTTATTTTTTATTTGTTGTTACTAGCAAGCTGCGCTCTTATTTCAACGAGTTGGAGAGAGAAGGTTAGAGTGGCACGTCGCACAGTGGAGAGACTTAAGGCTTAAAACATAACATTTGAGTCAATTAAATTTATATAATCATATGATATGGATACTTGTATTTTTTGTTAATTTTGTGATATTTTTTGTAACTAAAAAAATATTTTAAATATATTAAAAGTTTGCGTAATGTTTTTAAAATTTCTTAAAAAATAAATTTTTTTTACAAATTTTTTAAAAGTAAATATTACATTTTCTGTAAGAAGGTAACATGACTGCATGTTCAAAATATCTTCATTTTGTCTTTTCCTTTAAGCCTAGTATTCAGATCGACAAACGATTACGCTAGCGTAAAAACTTTAATCTTTCCAGTGTGACCAAAATTTTGAGACTTCATCAGATTTAAGCGTGCTACGGTCGTACTGTCAATCAGCTGGGTTTGTTGACAAGCAGTTAAAATTCAAATATCGTATTTGCGGGAAAGAGCCTTTAAAATATATTATCGAATACCTTGGCAAGACAAGTCTGCCGCTGTACAAAGAAATTAAAAAACAATAAAATTTAAATTTAACAGTTTTTTTTTTTAATTTACTGATAATTATTTGCTAATTTAAAGTTCATAGCTGCACTTTTACTGTGTTTTTTCGTACATTCTGGACCTAAAAAACATTTTGCTCTGACAAGAGGCACCCCAGATAGTATTAATGTTATTTTGTCCTCGCATGTAAACACCTGCAATCGACTTTTGTGAGTTTTTTCCTCCATTTCTTATAATGTTCAGTGAGAAGCGCACGCCAAAAGATTAAATTTTTTAATCTTTTCGCTAGAGTTCACCCAAAGTTCATTTCCGCAGACTGGCAACGCTATGGAATTTTCTGGTATTTTTTTCGTCGATCTGTGGACCGACGTGAAAAAAAGGCCCGACGAAAAGTGAACGCCAGCTGTTTGCCTCTCGCTCTCTCTCATGACTGGCGTACGGTTTTCGTCGATCTGGATACTAGGCTTTATGCTTTAAACTTATTCAGCGAATTATATTTTCAGGAATTTCTGTTTTGCTCTCCTATTGGCAAATACTGGTGCTCGATTATATTTTTCGCGTGCTAAGATATTTTATGACCTCTAAAAGTGAAATTTTCGAATCATATGCTCGATATTTGTATACCCTTGTATTATTATAAAGTATATACATATTCTTGATCAGCATCACCAGGAAGGTCGATCTAGCCATGTCCGTCTGTCCGTTTCTGCGCACTAGTCTGCTGTTTTTCTATTTATCAAAATATTCCTTTGAGATATAGTACTTATATATCACTTTTAGTTTATCAATATTATATAGCTGCCCAAAATTGATATAGCTTTATTGTTTTTAGTAATATAGTTAATAACTATAACTATAATAACTATAACTAACTATAAGTGTAATAACTGCAAGGGTATATAAAGTAGGTTACTTTTTATACCTTTGCAGAGGGTATTATAAATTTGGTCAGAAGTTTGTAACGCAGTGAAGGAGACGTTTCCGACCATATAAAGTATATATATTCTTGATCAGGATCAATAGGGGAGTCGATATAGCCATGTCCGTCTGTCCGTCTGTTTTAAAGTGTTTGCGAGATCAGTTTAAAAGCTAGCGATCTGAAACTTTCACAATCATCCTAAAACATGTGTACGCAGATCATATATAGCTTCCATAGGAACGATAGGATATAACTTGCAAGAATGGAAGATATTTTGCGCAGTGTAAAAGCTATTGACAAAAGTCTTTCCAAATCTTATTTTTTTTTGCATACCTTGATCAGGGTAAAAGCGCATGGCGATCGGACGTCTTTATCCTATAGCTCCGATAGGAACAATAGGGTGAAATCAGTTAAAATTTAATGATTTTTTTGAATATTTCGCGCAGTATATAAGCTATTGACATGAATCTTTCCAAATCGTATTTTTTTATACATACATTTTATACATGATCGGACGTCTATATCCAATAGCTCCCATAGGAAAAATAGGGTGAAATCGTTCCAAATTTGATGTTTTTCAGAATATTTCGCGCAGTGTGTAAGCTATTGATATACATTTTTAAAAGTCTTATTTTAAGCATATCTTGATCAGGGTAAAAGCGCTTGCCGATCGGACGTCTATAACTTCTAGCTTCCGTATGAAAAATTGTTACAGGCTGCGAAAATATCCCTTTTTTTCTATTTTTAAATGACATTTTTGCAGTATAAAAGCTATTAACATAATAGCTTCCGTCTTCGTTAATTATAAAATTTTAGTAGAGTAAAAACTTAACGAATATTTGATCAAAAAGTCCGTTAAAATGCCGTTTTGTTTCGTCAATTATCTGTTATCAATCAATTATCTTACAAAATTAATGGGATAATCAGAAATTTAATTTTGAATAAACAAGAAAGCAAACAAACTTCGGCAAGCCGAACTACTAAAAACAAGCTATGAAGCTACATATGTCGATTTTGCCCTGAATGCTATATGATATTGTTGTCCGATTTGGACAAAACTAAAAACGTAATTCTGATATAGTAAATAATTACTATATCTCAAAGGAATATTTTTATAAACAGAAAAACAGCAATTTTTTTCATTTTTACTTTTTTCCATTTTTGGATATTCCTATTTGAGCTATATGTATGTATATGTCCGGTCTTAATTTAATTAAAACCGAAATTCCATATTATAGACAACTTTTGGGAAAGTTTCAAACAGATAGCTATAAATCTGATCACTAGTATGTACATATGTACATATACCTTCACTGCGTTGCAAACTGTTGACTGAAATTGTAATACAAATTGTACTAATAATTAAAAAAAATAAATTTTATATATTTGTTTTTATTAGTATTGTTTTTTAACTTAAATTTAACAAAAAAAATAACATTCATGTTTCTCATTACAGAGCAAAAGCGAAATACATATAAAAAGAATGAGGGAAGCATCATTCCAATCGGCGTCCACTAAAAACAAACAGAACAAAAAGTAAAGTTAAATATTGTATTGGGTGATTTTTCGCTGCAGCAGCGACACGGAAGTTTGCAAGAGCGGGAGGAAAGATGATCACTTAGCGGGGGTGTAATAGAAACCCAAATAAAAAACTCGTAAAAAGCGGCATATTAAAAAAAGTTCATAACAAATAAAGGCACCAAAATAAGTTCAATATGCAACGACAAGCGACGAAAAGTAAATTAAAGCGCGAAAAAATCAAAATAGAAAGCGAAATGGCAGCTACGACAACTGATGATGTATTATCAACAATAGCAGCAGCAAAAACAATTACATGCGGCAGCATTTGTGTTTTGTGTCGACAAGAAATGTTGCTGGACTCATGTTGCTGTCGGCAAGCAGTGGAAGCAAATAATATGTCGGGAAGCAGTGTAGAAACTAACAGAAGCAGCAGCATCAATAAAATAAGCAGTGAATCCAGTGCTAGTGGCAACGATATTGTAATAAATAATAATGCCGCGCGTAACAGTTGCTTCATTTTGAAAAAAAATACCTTGCGTTTAGCAACAATACCGACTGGTTTTGAAAGATTTTGCAAAACTAAAGTGGAATCAACCGGCAAAAAAAGGGGCTTGAAATGCAGTGGAAATCGCACCAGCGAAGAAAACGACGAAGGCAGCCTGAAAAACAATCGACAGCAGCGCGAAAAATTTAATATTTTCAGCAATTGTCACAATATATTGCGAACGCTGCAATCTCTTTTGCTGCTTATGTTCAATTGTGGCATTTTCAACAAGCGACGCCGGCGGCAGCAACAGCAGCCAAAAAATGTAATTTATACAAAATTCCTATTGCTGTTACAAACACTGTCAGCAGCCACAACAAGACTGAGTTTAAACCCTAACAATTACAACCAACAACAACAACTAAAACATAATCAACAGCTGTCAAGTGCCACACCACACCACCAACAAAAACAACAACCAGATAAGCAAAAGCGTTTTCTCCACTTGCGCCATTATCATCCTTGGAATAGTAGTCTGATCTGGATATTAGCCGTTAATCTTTTGATCATTCATGGCACAGGGTCAGTTGCGTTGCAACAGCAACCGCAGCATCTGCCTCAAAACAATATAACTGATAAATTGAATGCGCTATCGGTATCAACGCTTTCACGTCCGCCTAGGAGCCAACAAAACGAAGCTATGCAATTGGCACAGAATGTAACACGTATGTTATAAACATAATTTAAATATAATTAACTTAAAACAGAAATTTTCAACAGAAAATTTGTTTGCCATTACCTACTCATTTTTTCCGAAATTTAACCCGATTTGTAAAATTATTATTAATTTCATTATTATATGGTGTACAAAATGTTATCTTCATTCAAGATCGATTTTTGTTCGTTGTAACTTAATATATTTTTTAAAAGATTTTTGTGTGAACAATTTTTATATGGCCAAGGTCCTTAAAAATTAAATTTAAAGTTTTTTATACAAACTAAATTTAATATACCGCTAGAAACTAATAGATTTCCCTCCAACCTTACAGCTTGCAAATCGATAGATATTAGAAACCTAGCGTCTCAATTCAGCCAGCTGGAGAACTGTACGGTCATCGAGGGCTTTCTTCTGATCAACTTAATAAACGACGCCAGCCCGCTGAACAAGTCGTTTCCAAGACTAACCGAGGTGACCGAATTTGTTGTGGTCTACCGGGTATCCGGGCTGCACTCGTTGTCAAAGGTTTTCCCCAACCTGAGCGTCATTAGGGGCCTATATCTTTTTGACGCCTATGCCTTGGTCGTCTACTCCAATTTGGACCTTACAGATTTGGGGCTTAGTAAACTGCGATCAATAACCCGAGGTGGTGTACGAATTGAAAAAAATCAGAAACTATGTTTCGCTGACACCATCCATTGGAAGCACATTATGGGAGAAGGTAACCTAACAGAGTCACAAGTTGTGATTTTGGGGAACGCCAAGCCTGAGGATTGCAAGGACACTAAGTGTCCGGGGAAAGTGCGAATTGGAGAGGACCAATATTCCACAGCCCTCAGCGGAGAGCTGAGTGCCAGTTGTAGAGCGCTTTCGCCCAATCAAACGCGATATTGCTGGGATAGCAAAATATGCCAGACAAGTGAGTTACCCCAAGAGTTGAAAATTTCGTCCTAAAAGTTGCACTTTCTCTTATATTTTCCTTGTCCAGTTTGTCCAACGAACTGCCGGGACAACTGCTTTGATGAGCACACTTGCTGCCATAAGGACTGTCTGGGCGGCTGCATCAGAGATAAAAATGGGAACCAAAGGTGCATCGGCTGTCGAAATGTGTCTTTCAACAATATCTGCCTGGAGTCCTGTCCGAAAGACTTTTATCAAGTAAAGCCACTTTTTGGAACGCCGCAATGTGACAAATATTTAAAATTTTAATTTTTTGCAGTACGACAGCCGTTGCGTAACGGCGGAGGAGTGCATCAAGTTGAAAAAGTTTGAATCAGGCAAAGAGATGGCCTTGGTCCCCTATAGGGGTCAATGCACAAAGCGCTGCCCAAAAACTTACAAGATGGAAAATAATACGTGCGTACCCTGCCCTGGTGGCAAGTGCGAGAAGGAGTGCACTTCTGGCTTAATCGACAGTTTGGAGCGGGCGCGGGTTTTCCATGGCTGCACCATAATAACAGGAGACGATCCCCTCGTTATCAGCATTAAGCGTGACAGCAAAGGTATGTGTTTTATTCAACTACTTATATCATTTCTTTGACTGAGCTCTTAAACAAGAAGCTGTTATACCCTTGCAGAAGGTATTATAATTCCAGTCAAGAGTTTGTAACGCAGTGAAGGAGACATTTCCGACCCTAAAAAGTATATATATTCTTGATCGGCATCATCAGGAGGGTCGATCTATACATGTCCGTCTGTCCGTCCGCTTGTCCGTCCGCTTGTCCGTCCGCTTGTCCGTCCGCTTGTCTGTCTGTCCGTCTGTCTGTTTCTACGCAAACTAGTCTCTCAGTTTTAAAGATATCGAAGTGAAACTTTGCACACACCCTTCTTTCCTTTGCACGCAGTATATAAGTCGGAACGGACGGGATCGGCCGACTATATCCTATAGCTGCCATATAACTGATTGACCGGAAATGCATAACATTGGTGTTTGTAAAGTTAGGAAGTTGGGATTTTTTATGAGTATTAAGAATGCATCATATGAGTAATTTTGGAGAATATATTTCACAAAATATTCTGCAAGGGTATATCAACTTCGGCTCCGCCCGAAGATAGCTTTCCTTTCTTGTTTATTATGATTCTTTGGGATTTGGTAATATTTAAATACTATGGAGTGAAATCGGACATCTATATCTATAGCTCCCATAAGAATTGAAAAATGAAAAAAAATACAAAATGAAAAAAAAATGAAAATGAGAAAATATTTTGCTGTGTTTCTATTTATTAAAATATTCCTTTGACATGAAGTCATAGTTTACTGTATCACCATACTATATCAATCATTTACTATATTAGTTTTGTAAAAATCGGACAATATATAGCTACCATAAAAACGATGGCAAAAAATGCAGAGCAAAATCGACATACCTTCATTGTTTACAGTAATATAGGCATAGAAATTCCTTTCTTATTGTATATGCATTTTTTGTTTTTTTCCTAGCCCACGTCATGGATGAATTGGAATCTTCACTTTCTGCCGTCCATAAAATTCAATCCTCTTTAATGGTTCACCTTACCTACGGATTGACATCATTAAAATTCTTTAAATCCCTGACCGAGATTTCCGGTAACATGTCGGGTGAAAATAAGTTCGCGTTGTATGTGCTGGAGAACCGAGACTTGGAGGAGATTTGGAGTCCCAACCAAACTGTTTTTATTAGGAATGGTGGTGTATTCTTTCATTTCAATCCAAAATTGTGTGTTTCTACAATCAACAAGTTGTTGCCCATGCTGGCCTCTAAGCCAACTTACTTCGACAAGCGCGACGTAGCCACAGACTCAAACGGAAACCGCGGATCTTGTGAGTAATCTCAATCGAGTCTGGAAATAAATATCTTCTTTAAACACGAATAAAATATTTAATTTAATCCTTCATTTTATTAATACTAATATGATTGATTTTATTAACAGGTGAGACCGCTGCTTTAAACGTCACAGTGAAAACGCTTTCGTCTAAATTCGCCGTTGTAATGGTCTCGTCAAAGGTGGAGATAGGTGATCCACTAAAACCTTCCAATGCGACAGTTATTTTTAAGGACTCGCGTGCCTTCATCGGTTTCGTATTCTACCATATGATCGATCCATATAAGAACGCCACCAAGAGCAATGACGATCCTTGTGACGATACTTGGAAGGTAAGCTCTCCCGAAAAGAGCGGTTCCGCGATATTGGGCGATTTGACGCCTTATACATGGTACGCCTACTACGTTCGCACTATGGCCATATCCTCCGAGAGAACCAACGCTGAGAGTAAGGTTGAGCACTTCATGACCAACGCTGACCAACCTTCGAAGGTGACGGACGTTGTGGCCACCGCCACCTCAGACTCAAAAATTGTGAGTATGGGTTTATCGGAACACATAGCTTTTAAATTTAATTTGGTAAGATGAAAGTTAAACGAGAGCTAAAAAAAAAAATTAGCCGAATTTAATTACGATTGGCAAAGTCGTGCGGGCTTTAGTTTTTTTTCAACCACCGTTGCATGAACTCAAATAAAAGGCGACAACGCGATAACATAGCATCCGGACAAATGTCGTCCGATGATATTAATTTACTTAAAACCCGTATTTTCGATGCAGGTTAATTTTTAAATGACGCAATGCACCATTTCCCAAGTTCTTAGGAAACAGATAGGTACAGTAGGAAAAAATCATTTCGGAAGCTTTAGATTCTGTTAAAACTGCTCAAACTAGTTTAAAACAGAGAAACAGATTTCTAGAAGACCTAACGTGCCCTTGAAGACATTTGAAACACAATAATTGCGAACCTCCTTGGATTTTAAAACCACTGAAAATTATATGATGACGGTCAATGTGAATACATCGGGTGGTATCGTAAAAGGTTCCACAGGTGTTCTTAGTCAAATAGGATTCAATGCGTCTAACACTACGGATATTCTCTGGATACAATTTTTAGATCAAAGTACAGGCGCTGTGATAGGGCTAGGGAACCTAACATTCAAAAATATCAAAAGTTTTCAAATTAACTCGAAGCAGGCCATTAATATTGACCTACAGAAGCTAAAACTATTGATAAAAGCAGCTAGATACAGTAAAGTGGTGGTATGTATATAGCTTGAGTAGAGCCACAAGTGCGTAATTGCGTTCAGTTAATTTACAAAATATTCACTAACTAAATACTCAAGATTAGATTGCCAGTTAGTAACTAGTGGAGCTCTCCCAAAAAAAATCGTTGTCATATTCATGTGAAACGAATTGTTTGAGAATTCTACAAATCTTTCCTTTGCATAATCCGCAGTGCGCACATTTATTGGGCGTTTTCAAGTTTCTTCCGATAGTAATTTGTTAGGTCGGATTGATTGGCCAAAAATAAAACCCATAGAAAATCCAAACTTCCTAACTTTACAAACACCAAAGTTGCGGCATTTCCGATCAATCAGTTATATGGCGGCTATAGGATATAGTCGGCCGATCCCGGCCGTTCCGACTTATATACTGTGTGCAAAGGAACGAAGGGTGTGTGCAAAGTTTAAAACTGAGAGACTAGTTCGGTTAGAAACAGACAGACGGACAGCAGACGGACAGCAGACGGACAGCAGACGGACAGCAGACGGACATGCTTATATCAACTAAGGACGCGATTCTGATTAAGGATATATATACTTTATAGGGTCGAAGATGTCTCCTTCACTGCGTTGTACACTTTTGACCAAAATTATAATACCCTCTGCATGGGTATAAAAACATTTTAGCATAAACATTACGTGTACCGTTTGAAGTGGAGTATATTTGGGTGTGAGTGAGAAGGGTAGTATTGTCTTTTTTGATTGACAGTGATTTCATTCATTCCATAGTTGTACAGCTGTTGATGAGTACAGCAAAATTGGTGTGCAGTATACTTACTGAACAGTGAGTGAAATTTCATGACTGGTACATACATACATATATAGATCTCGTGTGTATGTATGTCATAGAAAGAATACGATTAAAAAATTGATTTGTATTTTCGTTTCAAATGTATTTATTATAAAATAAAGAATTTAAAAATTATTTATATTTTAATAAAAACTAATTATAACAATTATTTTATGTTAGTAAAGAAACTATATTTAAGTTATTAATATTGGAATAAAGGAACATTAGTTTATTTAGCATGTCTTCAGTAGTGGCAATTTTTAATTGCACTCATCTGCACAGTTGTACACAGTCAACACACAAGCTGTACAGCGTGTTTAAAAAAGGACAAATGTTGTGTTCACTCACGAAGACTAAAACCATATACTGTACTCACTCGAAGTGAGTACACTGAAAATGTTGTACTATCGTCTTCTGTCCTATATAGTATACTGTACAGTAAAGAATGAGTGCAGTATTTATAAGAACACTATACTACTGTACAGATCTGTTATGCTACAAATGAGTACATTAATGCAGAAGTCTATTTCATACTTCTGTTTTGTGGGAGTCTGTATATTGATAATTTGTTTATATTATAATTTATTTTAATTTTAAAAAATAAGTACCCTAAAAACTGAGAGCAGACTAGTTTGCGTAGAAATGGACAGTCGGACCTGGCTAGAGCGATTTGGGATAAGGGATATATGTTTAACGTGGTCCAAAATTTTTCCTTTACGTGTCTTCTGTCTAAAACTATATTACCGTCTGCAAGAGCAAAAATAATTTATAGAAAAAAACAATTCTGTCGATGTCCATGGTGATGAAACTTCGGGTCGCAAATTCGAAAGCGTTAATCTAGTATTTTACATAAACTTAAAACAATAACTTTTCAAAAACTGTACATTGAGAACTGTGGTTTTCTAAATTTATCTCAGAAACAATTAAATTCAATAGTAATAATTTTAAACAAATTGATTAGGGTTAACAAGAGAGGAATCATTATAAGCATAGCAAGCACCCCCTTAACCGTAAAAACAGTTACAATGAGTTTTCTCACCGAAGAGTTCCGTGAAGGTCGTCCAAAAGCAGTTGGTCCCAACAAATATTATTAAAATTATGAGTCAGGTATAAGTCTTGTATTTTGAGTAGTTTTATTTTAGGGTCTCACTTTTCGTATTAACATCTGTTTAAGGGGGTATATACCTTTTTCATTTTCAAAAAAGAACAACTTCTTGAGAATATTTCCCAAAATTTTCATAGAGATTTGAGCAGTAGAAAAAAAGTTACAGCGCTCCTAGCCGCGCGTCTCCTCCCCGCCCAAACCCAAACTTGAAACTTTAAACGCGAATATCTCGAAATGGTTTTTTTTTTAAAATGACTTTGCGGTGATATGGATTGACGAAAAACTACTGAACCGATTTTCTTCAAATTTTTTTTGAAATGTTCGTAATGAATTTTATTAGTACTTGAACGATCGTTTTTTCATGTAAAAATTTTTATTTCGCCGAAATAAATAGTTTTGTAAGAATTTTTGAGTCCAAAAACGTCATTTTTTGCATTAAACGTTCCCGTATGCACAAAAAAAAAAAAATTTTTAAAACGTTCGTTCAAGTACAGGATACTACTTTAAACTAATGAAATATTTTTATTTTTTCGGTATCAGTTGACCCATTTGTCCTGGGGAATTATCACCGCAAGGCTCTTTAAAAATAAGGCGTTTAAGGGAAACAGCCAACCCTTAAAAACTATTAAATATTTTTTCAAAAATGTTTGCATAAACATTGTCAACAATCTAAACTTTCAGAAAATATAATCATTCATTTAATAAAAACAATAGTTACATACATAAAAAAATCCAAACTCTCCTATTTCTTTCGACAAAAAAAGGTATATACCCCCTTAAGTAGGTTGAATATCTGGTTAATGGGAGTTTTGTGTAAAATATTGTTAAATTCAATATTGTTTGCATTGATGTTCCTTTTTTTTGAATGTCTAGTGTTTAATTTGGCGTAATCTGTCCTTCCTTCATCGGTGCATAAATCGTTTGTATCTCGGCCCAATAATTTATAAGTTGAGAATTCTGTCTTTATGGTAAGATCGCTTACCCTGCATTTTCAGGTGTATGTTCGTTCTAATCTTTAACAATTTTGTTTTCTTCCTTTGTGCTTATGTTTTTGGTATTTTTGTTTAGAGCTAAGAAATCGAAACAATTAGCTTGAGAGCAGACGTTAAACACAATATTAAAGCTACTATATAATTTTACAACTGGGAGCACATAGAAATATTTTACTATAGTAAATAGGGTTTCATAATGATCATTTCTTGGTTTTTTCTTGGCTTTCTTAAGTTTCTGCGGATCATTGAGAAAAATGAGTCATGGTCCTTTAGGCCATGATAAAGATTTAATAAAGATTATTCAACTTGGCCCTGATTTGTCAAACATTGTTTAAATTTCCATTTCCCGATCCTGTTGTTAGTTGTTTTGGAGGTAAGGGTTTATTGTAGGGAGGGTATCTGTGAATAAAGTGTGCCTATTCCGATAGTTTGATCTCGTTGAGGATTAGATTATGCATATTCTTGGCGTTAAAAGTAATGAAGGGAATAAATGGTACAAAAATCACATTTTTGCCAGTTCAATACCGTCGAAAGGATGTTTTTTATTTGTTCAATGGCATTTATAAAATGAACTGAAAGTGGAGATTCTTGCTAACTCGAACGCTGAAAGAGCGATTGGGGAATTGGGGAAAACTTTAAAGCAATTGCGCTTGGCGAATAATTGCTAATACCTATACAGGTTCGTATCGGACCTTTTTGATAACCACGTGTAATAGTCCTGGGAATCCCAGTGATACCTCCCAGAGATAAAGTCTCTAGTATTATGAAGGCGCTTTATGTTATTAATGTGTTGATAAGTGTGTGTTATATTTCGTTTTATGAGCATCCCAATACCTTGTTTGAACCAAGTGTTTTGGAGTAGATTCTTCATATTCTTCTTTCGGGGCAAATACAATTTTGAAATTGTATGGTAGATAAGTTTCCTGCAAGCATAAGAGTTTATTAATGAGAAGGATAAGTTCATTGTAGATACTAAAATATAAAAAAAATAGTTTTTTTTGAGAATGTATTAGATTTATTTATTGTTTATGTTTACTAAAGATTTGAATATGGGTCGAGAACATCCATTGATGTATCGGAGTATATTGGATGGGACAATTATGTTTGATACACTGGACGAAAAAGCACTGACTTGCTTATTGTTCGGAGTGAAGTCGTCGCAGATTAACGTAATAAAAACTGCAGCTCAGAAATGTATGCTTGGGAAAGCTATTTAACGATCCCGCGGACAAGCCAAAAGAGTCCAGCTGTTTAAATAATTTCTTAGATTAAATCATGGTTAATGTACTAGTGTGCAAAATGGATGTGTGTTAAGACGTTTTTCTGTTACTTGGACTCAGCAAATCGTTTAAAAATTTGGTTATAGCAATCGAAAGGAGAGAACAGTTACCTTTCCTTTTCGATAAAGATTTTGGAAGAGGCAGACAAGATAAAATTTGAGGCGAAGGGTCTGAAAGAGTGGTATTAACCAACAGAGTAACAACGACAGCTCAAGGAAAAATAACGCTTACCGTAAAAAATTTTATTTACGTCGACGGTATTGAAATAACTATGTTTTTCAAATAAGGAAATATTTCGATTGAGCTTCTGAAGGTGCTGTATGCCTTTCGCCGCTATAGCGCAGTAATAACAGATTGCCACAATGAAGAGATTGTGTACTGTAGAAAAAGCAAAGATTTGTTTACAGTTCACATGAACCCCAATAATTGCATGCAGTAAAAAGCGAGGAGCGACGAATTTAAGAAAGGACGGCTGGAATGCAGCTTTTCTGCAAGAAAACAGCTATTCTTTGTTTTATTTGCTAATAAAAACTAACAAAATTAGTGAAAACAAGAAAGGAAAGCTAGCTTCGGGCGGAGCCGGAGTTGATATACCCTTGCAGAATATTCTGTAAATTATATTCTCAAATATTCCGCCGTTGTCTGAACTTCCTGATTATTTAAATCACCTATCCGTTATTAAGTCCGTTGCAAATAAGTTTTCCGATAGGGATCAGTTGGTAGTTCTAGGTGATTTTAATATACCTGGAGTTACTTGGTCCACTGAGGATGGATCGAATGTCTTACTACCTATAGCACACCATGATTTTATTGGACGGCCTGCTTGACATATCTCTATCTCAAGTAAACCATGTTCAAAATTCATTAGGTCGCCTACTTGATTTGTGTTTTGTATTAAATCCTGAAGGTGTGTTTCTGTCCAGAGTAGCACTACTTACGCAACCTGAAGATCCATATCACCCTACAATCGAACTTTCATTTGATACGGGTAGAGTTATAGAAGAAAAATCAGAAAAATCCAAACGAATACATTGTTTTCGCAAGGCAGACTTTCTGAGGCTAAATAATTTTATTTCTGGCTTTAATAGGTCTGATCCTTACTTATGCAATAATATGTCCGATGCAGTTAATGTTTTTTACACTGCAATAAACTCATTTTTTAATTCCTGTGTTCCGAGGTACTAGCCGTAAATTTCCAATAATTCACCTTGGTTTAGCAAAGAGTTGACACACTTAAGAAATGTAAAGGCCAAACTTTTTAGGAAATATAAAAATACCGGTTCTCAATCTGTTTTTACTAGATATTTAAGTGCTCGGTCAAGATTTACCGTGCTTAATGCTCAGTGTTATAATAGTTACTTAAACCGTTGTAAGGTCCAGTTCTCTCAGGACCCGAAACAGTTTTATAATTTTGTTAACAACAAGCGTAAATCTAATTCTTTTCCTTCCTCGCTGTCGTTCGAAAACATGACGGCAACCACAGATCAGGCAATAGCCGATTTATTTGCCCAATTTTTTCAAACGAATTACTCTACTTTACATTATTTATCACAGCCTTATTCTTACACCATGTCCAAGTCAAACCTCATATTCTGTCCCATTTTAACAGAAAGCTCTCTTCTTTTGGATCTTCTTCGTATTAAGCCTGTTTATTCGCCAGGGCCCGATGGTATTCCTGGGTGCGTGCATAGGTATCGCGCTAAGGCCCTGTGCAAACTTCTTCACAAGTTGTTGACCTTATCTCTAGAAACCTCCCAATTCCCAAATATTTGGAAGGCATCATTTGTTATTCCTCTTTTCAAAAAAGGTAACAAGTTAGAAGCCAGTAACTACAGAGGTATTTCTAAGTTGTCAGCTATTCCTAAGCTTTTTGAAAAAATTATTACTCCTCATTTGCAGCACCTTTGCAGATCAATCATTTCTCCGTGTCAACACGGATTTCTTAATCGTAGATCCACAATCACAAACCTTCTAGAGCTCACTACATTTGTGATAAAAGGCTTCAATAGTAGTTTTCAAACATACGTCATTTACACTGACTTTAGTAAAGCATTTGACTCTGTAAATCACTTCTTATTCAAAAACTTGACCTGTTAGGTTTTCCAGTTGATCTGCTTAAATGGATTTCAAGTTATCTGAATGGCAGGCAAATTCTCCGTGTTACCTCCGGTGTCCCACAAGGGAGCCGTCTGGGTCCGTTACTTTTTACATTATTTATTAACAATCTTCCCTCAATTATAAGTCATTCTCGCGTACTTATGTACGCAGATGATGTTAAGTTGTGCCTGCAGTATAAGGCCATTTAGACTTGCAATCCGATTTAGATAATTTTCAAAACTGGTGCCGAGATAATTTACTAAATTTAAACGGTTCCAAGTGCAAGCTGATGACTTTTTATCGGGCCAATCCGATATACGCGACTTACACGTTAAGTGGCAGCTCTTTGGATAGAATAACTCTTGTAAACGATCTTGGCGTTCTCTTGGACCCTAAACTAAAATTCTCTAATCACATTTCGTCCATGCCCAGAGGAGTGCTTGGATTTATTAAAAGGTGGTCAAAAGAATTCCTTATTTTACTAAAACTTTATTTATTTCGCTAGTCCGTCCGATTCTGGAGTATGGGTCTCCCGTCTGGATTCCACAATACGGAATACATATTGGTCGTATTGAACCTGTACAAAAAAACTTCCTTCTTTTTACTGGGATGCAAATTTTAACTTACCTTCTTATTCTAGTAGACTTCTTTTGATTAATTTACCCTCCCTAGCCAACCGTAGAACGATGCTTGGTACTATCTTTATTTATAACCTTATACATGGTGATATTGTTAAGTCGGTTAAACTTTTCTGTGCCAAGTAGATTAACTAGAAATTATATTCCCCTAATTTTAAATCATTGTAGATCTATCTATGCCTCGCATGAGCCTTTCAGAGTATTATGTTCTGACTATAATAGACTTTTTCCTGTACTCTCAAATCTTGACTCTCTGCCGCTCCTAAAACGATTAATACTTGCTTCATTGGCACAAGATTGATCTAAATATTACTTTTTTCCCCGGACCTTTACCTTTATTTTCTTATCTCGCGTCTATCTTATCGCGAATCGTGCCGTACGATACACGGCTGCGCCCTCGGTCGGTTGGGCGTGTAAGTGGGCCGTAGGACTCCGCGAAAAAAAAAAAAAAAATGTATTCAATTTGAAATGGGTACTTAAAAAGGATGCCTAAACAGTTTGTGCATTTTTAGGTGTTCATGATTTTATCATTAATCATATTTCAGGCATTACGAAAGTCCCATTAAGTAATAACAATTTTATAATCAGATCTCGTTGTAAATGACAAAATTAATACTGAGCGATAATATTGCAATAATATTGGTGATTACAAGAAAATTTGCAAACTTACCGATGGAGACACTGTCGACATTTTAATATCCCTATTATAAATATTATATTTATTTTACTTTCTTCATTTATATACAGAACGTTACCTGGAGCTATCGTGAGGCACCTAACGGCAAACTATCACGCTTCTTTATAAAAGCAAAACTGATAAGCCGACCATCAAGAAACCTTAACCGAGATTACTGTGATGAACGTAAGCTTAATACCCTTTCTTTTAAGGAACGTATTGTTTAAATTGTTTTTCGTACAGCACTTGCTAAGGCTATGGACAACGAGTTGCCGGCAACGACTCCCACCAAGAAAATACCGGATATATTGTCTGGTGACTGCAAATGTGCGGAGGGCTCCAAGAAGACCATAAAAAAGGACTTTGACGACCGGACCCTTCACACCGGTATGGAGTTTGAGAACACGCTGCAGAACTTTATATTCGTTCCGAAAAAAAGAGAGAACAAAAAAGAATTAACTGGCAACAAAGATGCAGCCGAAGGTGGAGCACTTGATTCCAATGCTATTCCAAACGGTGGAGCTAAGAATTCATCTCGCCCAAGACGAGACATCGCCCTGGAGCCAGAGTTAAATAATATGTATGGGAGTGTACTGCTTCGCCATGTTCGCTCCATCACAGATAATCCCGACGTCAACCTCGAAAAAGGTGACGAGAAAACCTATAAGGATGAGGAAAGATTGTCTACGAATGGAAAGTTCTTTGAGGTGTTTGGAAAGGAGTTGCCGCCCAACCAAACGTCTTTCGTTTTTGAAAATCTGCGCCACTTCACACGCTACTCCATCTTTGTGGTAGCCTGTAGAGAAGAGACCGCCAACGATGAGGGTAAGGGCCCGTTCTGCAGCGAATATGAATCCGTATTTCCAACGACCAAAAAGAAGGGTAAGTGGACCAAAAAAAATTTTAATTTATTTGCCATTGGTTGACTTTATTTATATGAAAAAAATCAGTTTAGGAAATAGAATCTGTTTTCATTTAAGTCATAACTTGCACCTAAATATTTGGAAACAAGAAAGCTAACTTCGGCAAGTGTATATATGTAAAGTTGGTATTATAAGTGGTATATTTAAATTAACAGTACGCTGAGATATTAAATAAATGTTCAATCTTTACAGCAGCGTTCTTAACTTCTAATTTTAACTTAAGCAACTGAAGACAACTTTAGGCAACTTTGACGACTTTTAAATGCGACCGCTTCTTACGACTTCCTTCTGCGAATGAATCTCCGTCGTAATTCCTTCTCCGGTTTCTCATTAAGCTGTTCTCTAGATCGCTGAATACCATTCACAACGAGGGAGTTGTATACTAGCTGTCCTCTTTTGCCTTAACCCTTTACATATATCTTTGCAGATATAGCAAATTCCTTTTGTAGTAATTTATACTTAACCTAGGTGATATTATTAATGGCTAACGGCTATCTTACCTACGAAGTGAGATTTTCCAAATAAAAGAGTCCCGATGAAGAGCAAAAATTAAGTAAAGAAGCGGACAGTAGGAAAGAAGTTTCTAACAGGTTGCCTTTTAGACATCTCAGTAAATCAGAAAACCTTTTTTTTGGAGGTTTATTCTTTTTTTTAGTTTTTTGATTTTCCTATATGAGCTATATGATATAGATGTCAGATTTAATTTAATTAAAACAGTAATTCCATAGTATTTTAATATTACAAAATCCCAAAAAACAGCAAAAAAATTCAAAACAACAAGGTTATACTTTTTTAATTTTTTGCCGAGCCGGCTCGTTGCGACTTATATACTGATGCTGTCTTTCTATTGCAGGTAATGTATAAGTCGAAACGAGCCGGATCGTTTAATATAGATCCCACAGGAACAATCGGAAAAAAAAATTATAAAAAGTTTAACTTTGTTTTTATTTTTTTTGGTTCTTTGGGATTTGGTAATTTATACTAATTACCGTAATTCTACGGTTTTAATTAAATTTAAACCGGACATCTACTTCAAATGGCTCCCAAAAAAAATCTTAAAATTAAAAAACAATCTAACTATTACTTTATTCCCCGGACCTTATTTATTTATCAAATTATTCTTTTGAGATATAGTAATTTTTACTATATCAGAATTAGCCTTTTTGTTTTGTCAAAATCGGATAACAATATAATATAGCTGCCAAGAAACGATTGCAAAATGCAGCGCAAAATCGACATAGCTTCATTGTTTTCAGTAATATAGGCATAGAAATCGAAATGTAGTCGTTTTGTAATAACTGCAAGGGTATATAAACTTCGACTTGCCAAAGTTTGCTTCTATTCTTGTTATAAATTGTTTTCAACTTGATATGCGGCTTAAAAAAGACTTGCATTCATGCACTCGACCCTTTAATAGCGTTGAAATCAAATTCGTTTATTTATTTATCCAAATGTCTCCAAAAGCTTCCTTTCTAAATTTGTACATTTTCAGATAGTAATAATTATTATAGCCGTTACTCGTAGAGTAAAAGGTATATTATATTCGTTGGAAAGTGTAACAGGTAGAAGAAAGCTTTTCCGATGTGTAAATTGTATATATTCTTGATCAGAATTAAAAGGCGAGTCGGTTAAGCCATGTCCGTCTGTCTGTCCTTGAAATCTCGGAAACGCATGTTTATTTTAAAATGATGCCACGCCCACCTTAACGCCCACAAATCACCAACACTTTAGAGACCTCAAAGAGGCCAGGTATTGGTCGGAATATGTCAAAACTAGCACAAAAATACTTATTTACTTATAATCGCTCCATTGCTTTGCAAGTTTTTAATCATTTTATGTGCTAATTATGACGTCATTGCATATTTGAAAACGGAGTTTTATATTTGAGAGAGCGGTTCTCCAGATATTTCTTTCTAAAATTTATTTATTTTGAAATAAGTTAGCTGATAGACGTCGTACTCGTCTTTCCTTGTTTAATTTATAATCGTATTCCATCTGTTACTAAGGTTCTAATGTGTATCTTAACAACAAAACTCGCTTGCAAATGAAAAAAGTTCATTTATGTAGGCTCTGCTAATAAACTCGAAAAACTACAAAATCAAACCAAGAGAAACGGGCCTTTACACAGCAAACTGAGCTGGTAAAACATCTGAAGTAATAATTTGTAAATCGCATTAATCTACGAAACAGTAGGGTGATGCTGCTTTAAAAACACCCATTTTTCTATTTGGCTCATATGACTTTACTACTTCCACAAATAAATCCAGTTGTCTAGCTGAGTTTTAAGCAACTGTTATTTCCATATTATCGATTTGTCTTAAAAAATACTTATTGTTTTGTATTTGCTCTTATAGAAAATGCTGACAACATTCTAGACGTACAAGTTCCAAAATTTGCGAACAACACGAAGTCCTCGGTACGGATCAGTTGGGCACCGCCAGCCGATCCCAATGGGGAAATTCTTACCTACGAAGTGGCATACAAGCTGCAGAAGCCCGACCAAGTGGAGGAAAAAAAGTGCATCCCAGTGGAGGACTTTAACCAGACCGTCGGATACTATCTAAAGCTTAACGAAGGAAAATACAGTATCCGGGTGCGAGCTAACTCTTTAGCTGGATACGGAAATTTCACGAATGCGAGATACACCGAAGTCGAGGTGGGTTAAACAATTATTTTATCCAAACAAAATGGGGGAAATCCCTTCAGCTTTTGACCATTCAAATTATTATTTTCTTATAAAATTGAAATGTTTAAAAATATACAAATTTAATTATGTACAAATATTAACTTATACAAAAACTTATGGAAAAACTGCTATATTGATCCAATTTAAAAATTAAAATAGCTCATCTCTATTAATAGTAAAAAGTATGAAAATCTGAATGATAATTAATCTGCAATTTACAAAACTTCGTTAACCAATTAATAAATTATTTAATAAATTATCCTTGCAAAGGAATTATAATTTTGATCGGAAGTTTGTAACGCAATAAAAAAGACATTATTGATCCTATAATTATATACTTAATCATAATCGGAATGAACAGTTGAGTCGATACAGCCGTGTCTGTCTATAAAAAAATTGCGAAAAATGTACATACGTAGTGTGGATGGGAATTTAGTTATGGAGTTTTCATAATTATTAATAGGAAACTTGTTGTAGGAAGGCCATAGGGATGTAGGAGGCACAAACGAAAATCTGTTTATCGTAAGTTTAAATGTAAATTGTGCTTGCAGGAGGTAAAAGTAATTTAAATGTATTTAAAAACAAAATAAAATAGCCGTTTTTTTTTTTAATTTTTAAAACTTAAATACAAAAAAAAAAGATTCTTCCTGGCATCATCAACAAATAATTTGTAGCTGGCATTGCATACTATTTCTGGGCCTTAAATGAAAGTTCTTATATCTGTTAATCGTAGAGTAAAATGGTATATTCTGTTCTTTCAAAAGTATGTAAAAGATAGAAGAAATGATTAGGTTTAATACCTATGTTTGACTTTATGCCACTCCGTCTGCTTATACGTCTCATATATAATAGCTAGAAAGTTGGAATTAGGCATGCAGATTATAAAAAGCACAAAAATTACACATGCCCACAACTCGCGAAATTCGGTAGTAAAGATTTTAGGCGGTATATATTTATTCAGTCGAAATTTTTTTTATCAAATTTAACAATTATATTAGATGTAATTACAAATTAGAGTTTTACATGGTACAACGAGGTCATCGGGTATAGAGGGACTTTTGTTTTACTTTGGTGTTTTGCGGGGACAGATTTTAAAATATCATTTCGAAAGTACTGAATAATTCTAAGTTAATTACATTGTTTTTCTGACTGACAAATATTTCCTTTTTTCTGTCCCAAACAGGCCCCGCTGAACTATACAAAGTACTTTTTGTGGTTATCGGGGATCGTCGGTATACTGTTGATCGTCGGCCTTACGGGCTACGTCCGACACTTACGTAAGGAAGTTCCGCTCAACGACTTCCATATAAACACAGAAGTGAATCCGTTCTATGCAAGCATGCAGTATATCCCCGACGATTGGGAGGTGATGAGGGAGAACATAATCCAGCTGGCTCCTCTAGGACAGGGATCCTTTGGCATGGTGTACAATGGAATTCTAAAGTCCTTTTCCGGAAATGGCGTGGATCGGGAGTGTGCCATCAAGACGGTCAACGAAAACGCCACGGACCGCGAGAGAACGAATTTCCTAAGCGAAGCAAGCGTCATGAAGGAATTCGACACACACCACGTTGTTCGATTACTGGGAGTCTGCTCGAGGGGTCAACCCGCTCTGGTCGTTATGGAGCTGATGAAGAAGGGCGACCTCAAGTCCTATTTGCGAGCGCATCGGCCTGAAGAACGGGATGCGGCCATGATGGCATATCTTCATCGAATCGGTGTAACTGGAAACGTACAACCTCCTACTTATGGAAGGATTTATCAGATGGCCATTGAAATTGCAGACGGCATGGCATATTTGGCTGCCAAGAAGTTTGTGCATCGCGATCTTGCCGCACGCAATTGTATGGTGGCTGAGGATTTGACAGTAAAAATAGGCGACTTTGGCATGACTCGAGATATTTATGAAACGGATTATTATCGCAAGGGAACCAAGGGTCTGCTACCAGTGCGGTGGATGCCACCGGAGAGCTTGAGAGATGGTGTCTACTCCAGTGCCAGTGATGTGTTCAGCTTCGGAGTGGTGCTATGGGAAATGGCCACTTTGGCGGCGCAGCCATACCAAGGATATACTAACGAGCAAGTGCTGCGGCTCGTCATCGATGGCGGAGTAATGGAAAGGCCGGAAAATTGTCCGAAAGTACTCGATCGCCTAATGGAAAAGTGCTGGCGTCATAGGCCTTCGGCCCGACCCAGTTTTCTAGATATTATTGCGTATCTCGAGCAACAATGTCCGGATTCGAACTTTAAGGATGTTTCCTTCTATCATTCGGAGATGGGACTGCATCACCGTGAAAAGGAGCGAAAGGAGCGTAGTCAGCTAGATGCGTTTGCTGCGGTCCCCTTGGACCAGGATCAGCAGGACGCCGGACAACAGGAGGATGCGACTACACCTTTGCGGACGGAGCAGAATTCATCCTTAGATCAACCGGCCGAGAGCCCAGTCGCATTAGTAGATGATCACGCAACTCACTCGCCGTTCAGCCTGCAATCGGGATTTATCGTAAGCAGTACTCCCGATAATCAAACTGCAGTGCCAACTGCGTTTCAGAATCTAACAAGGCAAAGTGATGATGCAGCGGCCTACGTTCAACCAGATCCGGCCACTTTGGTCGAAGAAAAGGGATATGAGACCTACGATCCAAGTCCAAAATGCGTGGAACTACCGACGAGCAGAAGTGGCAGCACTGGAGGCGGAGGAAAACTCAGTGGAGAGCAACATTTGCTCCCTCGAAAAGGCCGACAGCCTATCATAATGAGCAATTCCATGCCGGATGATGTCATCGGTGGATCTTCTCTGCAACCCTCGACGGCTTCGGTAGCCAGTTCTAATGCAAGTTCCCAAACAGGACGCTATCTCAAAAGAGTGGTGGCGGATACGCTCCGAAATCCAGCCAACATGATTAACCGCCATCTGTTTAATCACAAGCGAACGGGGAGCAATGCCAGCCATAAGAGCAATGCATCCAATGCTCCGAGTACCAGCAGCAACTCCAATTTGACGAGTCACCCGGTGGCCATGGGCAATCTAGGAACCATCGAAAGCGGTGGGAGTGGTTCGGCAGGAAGCTTTACAGGAACACCCCGCTTCTACACACCCTCGGCAGCACCCAGCGGTGGAGGTGTCGCGATCAGTGACAATCCCAACTACAGAATATTAGACGAATCGGTGGCCAGCGAACAAGCCACGATACTCACTACCAGCAGTCCCAATCCGAATTATGAGATTATGCATCCATCAGGAAGTCAAATCAGCGCCAACCCAAACTATGTGCCCATGAAAAAGTCTCCTGTTCAGATGGCGGGGGTAACCATCAGCCAAAATCCGAACTACCAGCCCATGCAGGCACCGTTGAATGCTCGGCAAAGTAGCTCTGAAGAGGACAACGAACAGGAGGAGGACGATGAGGACGACGATGAAGACGTGGACGATGAACATGTGGAGCACATTAAGATGGAGCGGATGCCGCTAAGTCGACCCAGGCAGAAAGCGGTGCTGCGACTTGAGCCGCCTCGCAGTCGGAGTGCTAGCAAAACTAGGAAGTCGCCTACTAATCCCAACGCTGGAGTCGGAACGACCGGAGTCGGCAACATGTCAAACCTTCTCAAAGAGAGCTGGCTGCGGCCAGCGAGCACGCCGAGGCCTCCACCCCCCAATGGATTTATCGGAAGGGAGGCATAATTGTTCATATCCGAAGTTCCGTTAAAAAACCTTTAAATAGATTAGCCGAAAGGACGTATAAGTGGGAACATTTTGAGGTAACTCAAGCTTCCTTGACTTTGACTCTTCCCTATGCCTGAAAACTAGGGTGGGGATATTTTGAACTGAAGAAAAAATGTACAAAAATCTAGAGTCGGAAAGCAATATATTGTTACTTTTTAGCAATGAAGCCTCAAAACAAAGTTTTTTAAGCAATAATTGTATTGGTTAAATCATTATCTAATAATAATAATAATAAGGATAATACATTTTTTATTGTGAATTCTCTTTAAATATTTTTTACCTATTTTGGAGTTCCTTCAATCTTCTTTGCCTTTCAACATAATTGAAAAAATTGAATTAAATAGAATTATATTTTTCTCATCCTTGTTTGAGGTTTTTGTAAGCGGTTATATAAAAAGAAATACAAGTTATTAACCACGGGTAAATTGCTAAGAACCAGACAAAGATTGCGTACCGTAAACTGGACTCTTTGTTCAAAACATCGAACCACCCTGACCGCACATGTATATTAATTTCGATTAAGCCTATTTATGTTAATGTATTCGTTTAGTATTTACTATACATTTTTTGTTTGTTTATATGAATGAAGAAGAACTGTTAACGCAATACAAAACGAGCAGAGAACGATAGTAAAAGCAGATAACGAAAGAAAACGATAAAAACACAAGCAAAACAAGTCCTACATGCAAATAACAAAAGTACAAAAGCCAACAACCAACCAACCTAAGTACCGTTTAAATAGACATATAAATTCTACCAATTATAACTTATAACTCATACCTACTACGTATATTAATTTTGATCATTTTTATCTAAACCGTAAAGAGGAAAGCGAAAGTAAAAGAAGAAAAACAACAGAAAGCAACGGAACGGAACAACAGCAAAAACAGAAATAGTGTAACTATAAAACAGCAAACAAGCAATACAAAAACTGAACAACTGTCTTCACTGAGTTAGCTAGCGATAGTTTTAGTAATCTATATTCCTAGGTACACATTACTTTATTTAAATGTACTCAGATAATTTTTAACAATGTCTTTCAATTTTAGCACGTTTACACCACCTGATTTTTTTTTATAATTATTTCTACATACATTAAAAGCAAGTTTTATGTTTTGCTTGATTGTTCATATTTTACTTATAATTTCTTTTCTTTGTATGAATAATTTTAATATTTATTTTAAACCCGCCCCTGTAAATAGAAATTGTAAATGAAGCAAGTCGTATAGGGTAGCAGGCAAAAGTTTGATCTGCTCTGGTATATCTGCATCACTATTGACCATAAACCAGAATCAAACAAATTCTATTTGTATCTAAAACAATATTCGCTGAAGCCAAGCTTTGAAAAAGGATTTAAAAAGTAAGAGGAAACCATAACGTAATTTCAAACCAAGAGCTTAAGTAACTGATGCATCATAATTATTGTATACAATCTGCTGTCGTTTTTTATACAACACTTGATATATATGAAGCAAAGTCATTTTGTGTACTAACTTAGATAAAAAAATCTAAACAAAACAAAAAATCCATAGGACCGTACCACATTTTTCACTAGACATAAACAATCTGCCATACCCCGTTAACTCAAATATGAAAAAGAACTCGGACCGATTTTGTTTTTTTTTTGTAAATTGAATTATTCAACAATAGCGCATAGGCAAAACAATAGACAAATTATATACCACATATATTTACACATAATTAGGAACTGAACGTGATATGTTTGCTGAGTGTACTATCCTGACAGTTCTCCGATTTCTAGCAGAGAAACGGAACTCAAAGTCCAATCTAGTTTCATGAACTAACAACAAAAGAACACAACATTCTCTGAAATAAGCAATAACCCACTTTAGCAACAACAATAACATTTATATTGTCGACAACAACTGCAACAAATGGAATTTTTAAACGAAAAACAACTACAACAAAAGTATTCGATATTTGCCTTCGCTCTTTATATTATTATATATTAAACTATACAAACACATATATTTAAAGACTAAATGAAACAAGGAAAAGCAGAAACAAACAAAAACTCACGCATCTGCAACGTTTTTTGTTTTTATTTGATAAATGCATAGCGAAAACAAGGAAACTAAATATTTAAATGAATTATACAAGTTACTTAGATCGTAGGCCTTGTAAGAAAAATAGTGGGCGAGAGTTATGTAGAGCAGTAAGCCGGAGGAACCTTGAACTAATTTTGATACATAAAGTAAAAAGGAAGAAAAAAACTAGTGCTAATTATATAAACAAAACTGGGAAGCAAGCGATATTTACACTGAAACTGAAGTAAAAATTATAAAAAAAAACACAAAAACAAAACCATTATATTAATTTAACTATGTAATACGCTATATGCATAACGAAACAATAGATACGCTACACAAATACCCATGCACACAGACACCCATACACACACGCATTACACACACACCACATACACTAAAAAGACTGAAAGATATAGTTCCTTTTGTTTTTATGTACATAAAAAATGCGAAAAGAAAAAAGAGAAATTCTAACGAAAATTGTAAACTTAAAAAGATGCAAATAAGGGGGAAACGCGTAAAAACAATTGATGGAATTATACATTAAACGATTAAATTTAAATAAAACAACAAATCAGCAGAAAAGCATTATGCGACATTACGTAACATGTATATTTAGTAGTCAAATTAACTAAATTTGTTGTAACAGAGTGGAATATGAGCGCTTTCGAGACAACGCCAAATATCAACTACTTATATAGCGATATATAATAAGGATTGTTGGCTATGGGTCGCGGCCGCTCCTCGCTGCTTTTTTGTATATACATGCGAACATCTATTTAAAATAATACCATTTAAACAAATTATTGTAAACTTAATACACATAATCATTATAAACACAATAGAAAAGGATAAAAAAACATAAAGCTTCAATATTTTAATTATAAAAATAATGCTAAGTTAACTGTTTCCTGTTTGTTTAAGCAAAAAACATTATAATAAAAAGGAAATTTAAATAAAAGCAAAAGCTACAAGTAACAAATATAATTGATTCGCATGTTTCTAGCTCACCAGAAACATTGGGAATAGAATATAGGTAGTTAAATGTTTTTTCATTGTGTTAAAAACTTAATTTGCACCTTTTATTTAAAAACCCTTAATAACGAAGGCATTGTTCAGCCCTAAGGAATCATAAAAAAACAAGAAAGGAAAGCTAACTTCGGGCGGAGCCGAAAGTTATGGCATTTCCAATCGTTCAGTTATATGGCAGCTATAGGATTAAGTCGGTCGATCCTTATGAAATTTGGTAGGTGGGATTGATTGATACTGCGTGCAAAGGAAAGAAGGGTGTGTGCAAAGTTTCAATTCGATATCTTTAAAACTGAGAGACTAGTTCGCGTAGAAACAGACAGACGGACAGACAGACAGACGGATAGACGGACATGCTTATATCAACTCAGTACGCGATCCTGATGAAGAATATACATACTTTATAGGGTCCGAGATGTCTCCTTCACTGCGTTGCACCTTTTTGACCAAAATTATAATACCTTCTGCAAGGGTATAAAAATATATAACTAGACAATCATATCAAAACGTGTGGTATTAAATTAACAAAAATCGTTGATAGATTTTGTATACAGCATAAGGAAGTTTAAAAGCTTTTAAGAAATTTAAATGAAAAGATATAACAAAAATCGTCTTTGACTTTCAAAGTGAACGGTCGTGTATTTTTCTGCGCTCCGGTTTTGTATTTTGTTTCGTTTAATCCCATCGGTGGGTTGTATCAAAACAATTTTCATTCAGTTATCCCTAAAGATTATAAAATGAAAGACCGATTTTTAAGGGGATACGGCCACAGCCCAAACCGTAAGAGCAAGAGCAGCCAAATTTTTTCACAGTATTCTATTGGGGGCGTGGGCGCCCACTAAGATCCGATATGTCCCCCCAGTGGCCCCAAACAGCTCCAACATCCATTATTCTGAGCAAAAAAAAGTTGATGTATTTAAGCTTAACTTCTAAAGTGGTTGGAATTTCGATATTTGGTTTTTTCCGAATTTTAGGTTTTGAAAAGGCCTAATTAGAAATCTAAAAGAAATTTCGATATCCCCCATAATTTGGGGCTACATTTAAAATTAACTTTTCGATTTAAAAAATCTAAACCGCTGCTCCGATCAAGATGATTTTTCGCTCAATAGTTATTCTATGGCCCAAATGCTTAAGTTTAATTTTTCAAATTTTTAAAAATTTTTTATTTTTTTTTTAACGAATTTATTTAGATTTTCTAAGTTATTGCGTTGCATTTTGCGGGAGCCTGTCAAGAGAGCGAAACCCAGAGAGCGGATGCCAAGAGAGCGACGGCCGAGAGAGCAACAGCCAAGAAAACTGATGAGGGGGAGGGGTAGTGCTGCATGGAAAGGGGAGGGGAAAGAGGCAATTTAAGTTAAATTTGTTTTGGATTTTAAAAACTTAATCTGCTGCTCCGATCAATATGATTTTCGATCAATAGTCAGTCATGTGGATCAAATGCTTAGGTTTTATTTTTCATTTTGTAGCAGAAGTAAGAGAATTATTTAATTTCCACCATGGAAGAAAATAGAAAATTACTACAAATTCTGTAAGCAAAGCCAAAATATTTCCAAGTTAAATTATAATCTTAAGATTCGAACTTTTGACCAAATACGTATGTACATATGTATATTTGGATATGTTTTGATTTGCTTATATGTACAATACATGTACATACATACAATGTGTGTGTATGTTTCTATTCGAAAGTAGATAATGTGCTTAAATACAAATAAAATGATTTGTTATACCCGTTTATCGATCAAATGTGGAATCTGAAAATAATACGTTACTTTGCTGTTTTTGTATTGGATGCCAATCTATTACTGTGTGTACAAAGGTTTTCGTTTCATTCAAAACAAGAAATTTAAAAATAACAAATTCCCATTTACAAACAAGAATACATATTTGTGCGCAAATTAAAATTGCATTGATAGCATTGTAACTGATAAAAAGTATACAAGCTCACGACTTTTACTTGGATCACTTTTATTTATTATATAGCTCTGCCAGTATCCTTCTGATTCTCTCTCTTGAAGGATCTTCTACAAAGGTTGTTAACACAAAGGTTTTCAAAAAACGCGCAAATAAGAAATAAGAAAGTCCTGACAACCCAATTTCCTAACTCCAAACTAATATTAAGCGAACGAGCAAAAAGTCGTATACAATACAATTTTACAAAGCGTTGGGGCTGAGATGGGTGAAATATTTTTTTTGGATGCACCTGGAGGGACAGGTAAAACCTACTTGACAAACTTATTGTTGGCAAAAGTTCGAAGTTAAAAAAAAATAGCCCTAGCTGTAGTATCTTCCGGTATAGCTGCTACCCTGCTCAATATGTAATATGGCTGCGGTGTTTAAAGATTGTAAGTTAATGGTTTGGGATGAGTGCACAATGTCACATAAAGGTGGGCTTGAAGCCATAAATAGGACCCTGCAAGATATTAATGAGAATACTATGTTGGTGGGTGGTATTACAGTCCTGCTAGCTGGAGACTTTCGCCAAACCCTTCCTGTTGTTCCAAGAGGTACTAAAGCTGACGAAATAAAGGCCTGTTTAAAATCTTCATTTTTATGGCCACAGATAAACAAACTAGCGCTCACGAAAAATATGCGAGTGCACTTAAAAGGAGACAGTTCTGCTGGTATTTTTGCCGAAACTCTTTTAAAAATTGGGAATGGCGTCCATCCAACAGTTGATGGAAAAATAGTTATAACATCACGCTTAGGAAATGTAGTCAAAAACGTTCAAGACCTTACATCCAAAATATTTCCTGACATTTCCAACATATCATGTAAAAGCTTAGATTGGCTATCTGAGCGCGCCATTTTGACAACGAAAAATGAAAGAGCAACCACTATTAATAATTTATTGCTAAACTCATTTGATGGTTTAGAAGTCTCCTATAAATCGTTCGACTCTGTTCCTGATGCTGATAATGCTGTTCATTACCCTGTTGAATTTTTAAATTCTTTGAATCCTCCAGGAATTCCTCAGCATAATCTGTCTCTTAGGATTGGAGCACCCGTAATGTTATTGCGAAATTTAAGTCCCCCTAAGTTATGCAATGGGACACGATTGCAGATAAAAGGTCTTCATAAAAATGTAATCGAAGCAACAGTATTTACGGGGTGCGCGAAGGGGGAAACAGTGTTTATACCCAGGATCCCATTAATACCATCCAGTCTGCCGTTTAAGTTTAAAAGGCTACAATTCCCTCTAAAAGTTTGCTTTGCAATAACTATAAATAAATCGCAGGGGCAGACTTTGAAGCTGGCTGGACTAGATCTTAGAGAAGATTGCTTCTCTCATGGACAATTTTATGTCGCATGCTCTAGAGTTAGCTCTGCCAGTAGCCTTATTATTCTCGCTCCTGAAGGATCTTCTAAAAATGTTGTTTACACAGAGGTTTTAAAGTAATCATATTAATTAACATTATTAAACCTAGAAAGTTTCAGTGGAATAGGTCTAATTGGAGATACCACATTAAAAAAAACGCGCCAATTTCTCTACCTCAGGGGTGGTGTGGAAATAGGAAAGTCTTGACAACCGTACTCAAAACTAATTTTAAGCGAACGAAGTCGCGCCGGGTACAGCTAGTTTAAATATATATTTAAATTCCGTTCGCTTCGCGAGTGAACTATAAATCTTTGTTCAGAAACTAATACCTAAAAATTGTTTTAATTTTGTAATTCTGTTCTGTGTTTTCTTTTCTTGTTACCCCGCCGTTTTTCTTTTGTGCGTTGTTCGTCGTAGGTCGTAGTGCTGTTTTTATATCTGATTGAAACTTTCCCAAAAGTTGTTTTTCTATTGCAGGTTGTATATAAGTTTTTAATTTTCTTTTATTGTTCTTTGGGATTTGATAATATTTAAATATTATGGAATTACGGTTTTAATTAAATTAAAATCGGACAAGCGATGGCAAAATGCAGCGCAAAATCGACATAGCTTCATTGTTTTAGTAATATAGGCATAGAAATCGAAATGTAGTCGATTTGTAATAACTGCAAGGGTATATAAACTTCGGCTTCGAAGATTGCTTCCATTCTTGTTTCAAATGACTTACTCTACTTAATATTATTCATCACAGCCTTATTCTTAAATCATATCCAAGTCAAATTAAATTAAAATCGGACAAGCGATGGCAAAATGCAGCGCAAAATCGACATAGCTTCTTTGTTTTAGTAATATAGGCATAGAAATCGAAATGTAGTCGATTTGTAATAACTGCAAGGGTATATAAACTTCGGCTTCGAAGATTGCTTCCATTCTTGTTTCAAATGACTTACTCTACTTAATATTATTCATCACAGCCTTATTCTTAAACCATATCCAAGTCAAACCTCATATTCTGTCCCACGTTAACAGAAAGCTCTCTTCTTTTGGATCTTCTTCTTATTATGCCTGTTTATTCGCCAGGTCCCGATGGTATTCCTGGGTGCGTGCTTAGGTATTGCGCTAAGGCCCTGTGCAAACCTTTTCACAAGTTGTTTACCTTATCTCTAGAAACTTCCCAATTCCCATATATTTGGAAGGAATCATTTATTATTCCTCTTTTCAAAAAAAGTAACAAGTTAGAAGCCAGTAACTATAGAGGTATTTCTAAATTGTCAGCTATTTGTAAGCTTTTTGAAAAAATCATTACTCCTCATTTGCAGCACCTTTGTAGATCAATCCACAATCACAAATCTTCTAGAGCTCACTACATTTGTGATAAAAGGCTTCAATAGTAGTTTTCAAATAGACGTCGTTTACACTGACTTCAGTAAAGCCCTTGACTCTGTAAATCACTTACTTTTTGTTCAAAAACTTGACCTGTTAGGTTTTCTAGTTAATCTCCTTATCTGGATCTCAAGTTATCTGAATGGGAGGATACAAAGGGTCCTTTTGAAATTCAATTTCTAAAATTCTCCGTGTTACAATCCAATCTAGATAATTTTTAAAACTAGTGCCGAGATAATTTACTAAATTTAAACTCGTAGAGTAAAAGGGTATATTGTATTCGTGCAAAAGTATGTAACAGTATATAT